AATAATAATATAATAATAATAATAATAATAATAATAATAATATAATAATAATAATAATAATAATAATAATAATAATAATAATAATAATAATAATAATAATAATAATAATAATAATAATAATAATAATAATAATAATAATAATAATAATAATAATAATAATAATAATAATAATAATAATAATAATAATAATAATAATAACTATGGACTGCAAAATACAGTTTAATTACGGCATATTATTTTTTCTGAAAAGAAATGTGTTGAATGCAATTTTTTATCACTATGTAATTTATGTAACAGTTGGAATTATAATAGTAATACAAATACGGTTAAATTAAATTCACCAACTGATACAATAGTTGAAAACTTATGAATACCAAAATTTAAATACACATACTACGATTCAATCATAGTTTTCAATTTTCGAATATTTAAATCATAATATTCAAAGAATAGTATTAAATTTAGTTTTAGTTCCTTCGATTTAAAACATAAAATTAGTTTATTACTCGTTTTTTTATATTTTGGGATTTCAATCATAAGAATAAAGTTTATTTCTTATCAAATTGAAGTGTACTATCACTAATAATTTTTTTTTAAAAAATATCTAATGTACTATCAAGTTATTCTCATTCTAAAATTTTTATTTAAAGATATTATACTCTAGTTCATACATTTTATTCAAAGAACATAAGATAGAGAAATGGTTTGGATTACAAGATTTGTAATAGCTAAAAACCAAATCTTCCAACTTCAATTTGCTTTTGATGATCTTTTTGAGGAAGACATCTACGCATGTTCTTCTCATTCCACTTTAATTTATTCCAATCTCGTATAATCCCATTTGTAAGAGTTCATACGAACCTATATCTCTACCCAATCCAAGTGACATTACTATTATTGTTATTCCATATGCCTAACAATCAAAATAATTTTTAAATTATGACAATCTACTATGATATTGCATTAAACTATGTTTAACGTAAGTTTCATATACAAAATTAATCGAGTGATGATTTTCAGCCACCAGACTTGTTATAATCAGTGAGAAATAATATATAGATTAAGTTAAAAATAAAGAAAGACTATCATTGTTAATTATGGTAAAAAATAATTTGTTTTAAGCAAATCATTCTTCGAGCACTTCTCTTGGTACGTACTACGTAGATATTAAGCAGATGTCTAACTCTTAAGATCTAATTGAGTAGATATTAAGCAGATGTCCATTAATATAGATGCGTATGTTGGGGAAAATCGGCCATTTCATACCTTACCTATAGTACTATGTTCAATTCATACCTCATATTTTATGGTGTGCACAATCATACTTGGAGTAAGCTAAACATCTAATAAACAACCTAAACTCGTTAATTTGTGCTAATCTATACCTTAATCGAAACGGTGTTAAGAATCCGTTAACGGATGCTTACGTGGATGCCACGTGCGAACGACGTCGTTTTCAATTTCGGGAGAAACCAAAAAAATGAGTTAAACGTCGTCGTTTGTCTCATCTTCTTCCTCCTTTGATTTTTAAAAATCGATTTGGGATTTTAGAAAGGGGGAAAGTTAGGTTTCTGGGATTTTAGTAATCGAGTTGGGGATTTCATAAGTGTTGATCAAGATGTCTTCATCAGCTTCTTCAGGTGAGTAATCGAGATTATAAGGTGTTTAATTTCATTTGTTTAGAACTTTGTGTGTATTTTGATAGGAAATTAATCTCTTTGGAAAATTGTGAATATTTTGATAGGAGTGAGCGATAGATTCTCTGTACCTGGAAGAGGAATCCCAAGACATTGCAGATGTGGTCGGTTCTCTGTGATTAAGACTGCAAATACACTGAAAAATCGGGTAGAACTTGTTGTTGGCATCTCTTCCAACAGCTGCCAAGAGTGTCCTTTCACATTGTTTTTCAAAAAACATCCATCTATGCCAATTATTGGGCGACAATAAGCCAGCCAAGTTGTCCGAATAGCTTCAAAGCATACATAAAACCTGTCAAACTTTACTACACCAGACTCGTCAGTAACTGTTTGAACATCCACTGTTGACCTTGGATTTGATCTACAAACACAAAAAGCTTCAAGTCATATTACCAAACTGTTATACTTACAACTATATAAATCAAAGTGTATATATTTCACTTACTCCAAAAGATGTTCCATGTAATCATGTATTCGAGCAAATTGCTCATCATATTCATCTTAAATAATTTTCAATGTTTTTCCTTTAGCTTTCCGGCACTGGTCAGGGGTGGCAACGATTGTGTACCTCTCCTCAATTGCTTGTTGCATTGCCTTTGGCTTCAAGGTTGGATCTCTCCTAATGTCATTCAAGAAAAGTTGAGCAATGATTCCACTCTTGAGTACTTTGCAAAACCCGTCTGTCGTACAAGCATGGACATCATTGAATGTCTTCACCATGTACTTTCCAATTTCATCATCATACGCACAGTAAATTCTGAATTTGGAATTCCCTCCAATAGAACACCTCACTTCACTTTTCTCTGATCCCCATCTTGTAAACTTTATATTCTCTCCCTTTTTAAGAGCATAGTCAATTACAGCTTCCTTAAACTCAGATATACTGTCAAATACTTGCTCTAATCTAATATCTCCACTACCTCTCTTGCACCTTACATACCTTCTTGGAGCATCCTCGCAATCTGAGTTAGGAGGAGTATCCTCACAATTATCATGCTCTTCTTCATCAACAAAACCTGTTAAGTTTTCCTCCACTCTAGCATCCATGTCAACAAAATCCCGATTCACAGCCCTATCACCTCTATCACCATCTCCAAACGCCCTATCACCTTCACCATCACTAACAGCTCTATCACCATCTCCAACAACCCTATCACCTTCATCATCACTAACAGCCCTATCACCTTCAACGTCACTAACATCTCTATCACTATGAGACCCATCTCCAACTTCGACATTGTTTTCTTTCTCCAAAAACAATTCTATCGATTTTATCCAAACTGAGGCAAGACAAATTTTCTGAAAATTTTGATCTTCACTCAATAACTTAAGCTCTGCAAAATCCTCATATGGAAACTTATACCAAATCTTTACCCCACAAAGAGAATCGCTCAGTGCCTCCATCAGATTGCCCAAAACAGCTTGTGGTTTACTTTCAAGGCTGAGAATCCCTCCTCCAATATATGCTACTTTATTCCCATTAACAACTTGAAAAATTCGACCATTGTAGCACTGGAATACTGCATCTTCCTCAGAACTGAAAAAAGAAAGAACCATGAAGAATAAATAAACATGAAATCCTTTAGAATACGGATCAATCTCATCCAAAGTAAACAAATAGACACGAAATCCTTCACGTTTTACATGTAGACACAATCAATTACAGTCAATTACAGTCAATTTACTAAAATCCCTAAATTTGAAAACCCTAAATTTGATTAAGCTTACCTCATTCTTCCAGTTTTTTTAAACATTTACTCTACTGTCATAAACTCTTCAGAATCGACACTTGTTGCTAGTTGAATGCGAATTCCAATTGAAAAAAGAATCGTGACTCTTGGGTTCTTTCTCGAAAATCCTTAACAATGTCGACAAAGAAGAAAGAAGGAAGAAGGGAGAAGATGAGACTAAAACGACGACGTTTAACTCATTTTTTTGGTTTCTCCCGAAATTGAAAACGACGTCGTTCACACGTGGCATCCACGTAAGCATCCGTTAACGGATTCTTAACACCGTTTCGATTAAAGTATAGATTAGCACAAATTAACGAGTTTATGTTGTTTATTAGATGTTTAGCTTACTCCAGGTATGATTGTGCACACCATAAAATATGAGGTATGAATTGAACATAGTACTATAGGTAAGGTATGAAATGGCCGATTTTCCCGTATGTTGGTTAATTATGCATATATGGACAGATCCACATAGACAAAATAAATCAGACAAAAATAAGACACAAAATAAAATAAAATAAAAATAAAATAATGAGATAATGCGATGAGGACGTGAGGTGGTAGTTGGGATAGAGTTCAATAGCGGAAAAAAAAATTGGTAGTGATAGTAAAAAATAAGGTTATGGATCTTACTGTACAGATTAAAAAATAAGTGATAGTTCAATATTTTCGTACATTATATATAGTCCATTATTATTCATGACACATAGTTCACTATTAAACATGTCAAAGTTAGGAATATCATATTTAAGGTGGTAATCAGATTACAAAATGGCATGGCCGATTGTTTTTCCCACAAAGTGGCATTCTAGCTCTACGCTTGGATAAAGAATGTAAGTTGTATTTAGTTAAGTGGCATTTTAGGTATTAATGAAACTTTTGAAGGCTATAGTAGCAAAATATTTTCCCATATCTCCTAAACTTTGGAAAGTTATTAATTGTGTGATTTCTTTTGAAAAAGTGAATATGAGTGTAAATATTTATTTATTTTTCCAATTTTTTAATTATGAGTGTGATCTTACATTATTTAGTAACTTGGTTATTATTTTTTTCTCTTATTTCTTTTTTTGAATAAACTTTTCTCGTTTAGTAATTATTTAGGAACAATATAGAGATGATTGAAGTCTGCATATCTCCTAAAATTTTTCTTTTTTATCCATCATTTAATATCATAAAAGTAATATTACATTTACCTTAGTAACCTAAGATTTTTTTTATATAAAGATACATAAATTGTTATATGCATTGAAAGATTTGAAACATATATTTAATCCCCTACAAAAATAATATACTTTAAAGAAAATATAAATATTATGTGTCTTATTGGGGTTAGAACTATATTTAATTATGTTCATGGGAGAGGAAATCTCATAATTAATATTTGATAATCTAGTAAAATTTGCAGGAAATTAAAACTATCATTTTAGGCTATTAAAAGGAAAGAAATAAAGAAAGTCTAAAAGAGTAACATTTATTTAGAACTATATATATATATATATATATATATATATATATATATAGCATTGTTAGTGATCAGTATCTCTTCAAGCCTATTCATATAATTTTGGTAATTTAAAGATGGAAAACTTTGAAATAGATGGTGATATGATTATATCAAAAACGCTATCAAAGACTGATGTTGACAACCATGGACGCTTGGTCTTACCCAAAAACCAAATGCTTTTAGTCATTCAAAAGATGAAAGATATTACGAAGAAAAATCTGCTAAAGGGTATTCAACTCGAAGTTCTAGACATCATTCAAAACAATTCATACTCTGTGACCCTAAAATTGGCCAAGAACACCTCCAAAGACTTCGTTCTGGGACCGGGTTGGAACAATTTGAAGAAGTCATTAGGCCTAAAGAAAGGTGACAATATCAAATTGTATTGGGATTACTTGAGATACAAGTTCATTATTCTTAATTTTGAATACCGCTTAATCCCCAAATCGGATAATGTGATGGAGATTGGAGCGTATATGAGTACTCACAACTTCCTTCTGCTTTTCTATTTTATGTTATGTTAATTATGTTTTTGATTTTATATTTACATAATAACTATATTCATATGTTATCATTTATTAAAAATTTGATTTTATAAATAGATATCAAGATTTGAGATTGAATAAGATATATGATCGTTGTCGAAAAGTAAGAACGATTGGTGTATGAATTATTTTAACAAATGTTTCACTAAACTTTATGTAAAAAAAATTCAGGAAAATAAAATATTTTCTATAACCTTTAATCTTAATTCTAGATTTTGTACGCTCGAGATTTTAATTTAAAACCTCTCCTATCAACATAAATTTGAACATAAATATAATCATTTTTAATTTTGTAAAGAAGAAAATTTGAGCATAAATATATATAGACATTAAACTTACATTACTAAGTGATATACAACATGTTGACGCTAATGTTTCATTGACAAATAAATGGTTGATATATATATATTAGATAGTACCAAAAAATCACCTGAGTAATTTGCGGGAACAATATATCTTCTATTTTTAAGAGATTTTCTTTCGTATTTATATTCCATGAAAACATTTCTTTAAAGGCTTTGACATAATTATCAATTGTAAACCTAATTGCAGATATCATTTATGTTTAGTTGTTGATACAAACATAATATCGTTCCATATAGATGTAAATATACCAATTTTATGAACATTATTTAGTGTAAGGTATATATATAATACAATATCGGTAGAACAGCTTTACTGAGATTGCTTTACCCATATGATAATTCTCGACCAAGTCATGGATGTGCCTATCTTATCTCATTCTTCACTATTATGTGGCCAAACGGTTAAGCCCCACTTAGAATCTAATTTAGTAGATATTAAGAAGATGTCCATTAATATAGATGTGTATGTTGGTTAATTATGCATATATGGACAGATCCACATAGAAAAAATAAATCAGAAAAGATGTTAATGATGGATAAAAACCCGATGGGTACCCGAGACCCGGTTATAGTTTTAGGCTTGGGTACCCGATTTTATACAGTGAATAAAAACAGGCTTAAAACGGACGGGGTCCTGTTTATAACAGGTTTTATATGGGTTTTACCCTACTAGTTTTGGTTATCCACGGGCTTTTTGTTATATTTTCTATTTTAAAAAAAATATTGGTTATTTTTTTACTTTTATGTTTTGGTTTGTGTATATATTCACATCATTATAAAAACAATATAGTCAGATGTCGTTAAGAAGAAAAAAAAGTTTAAAACCAAAAAAGAGGAAAATATCAATAAACATAAAAATCAATTTAATTTTAAGAAGAATTTTAATCATTTTGATTTTGATATATCTTTCTTAGTTTTAGGTAAACAATGCATTTTAATTTATAGTTACATCGTTTTACGCTTAATCATGATTACTAACTTAGTAAAAATCTATATACACACACATATCTATATGTATATTTTTATCTTTATTTTTTAAAATAAAAATACTAATTTTAATTTGTTATCTCATATTTTCCTTAAATTATACTCTAATTTCAATTTATATCTTTCATAACTAATTCTTAATGGAATGTGTGAAAATATAAAATAAGTTGTATTTATATTTTTTAATGTTGCATGTAACTTAATAAAAATTAAAAGTATATTTTAATTTAGTTGATGTTATATTATGCAAACTTATATAAAAATTAATATAATTAAATCTGAATGATTTGCTGTTCAAAATTTATAAATTGGAAACTAAATAAAAGCTAATATAACTTAAAAATAAGAAAATAAAATTTGGGTACCCACGGGTAGATATAGTATTCGTGGGTTTTTTTCGGGTTTACCCATAACAGGTAAATCCCATTCGTAGAACATGTATATATAACATATTAAAGTTATTTTTGGATTAAATAACAGAAAATAAAATAGAAAAATCTTGAAATGGTATCTTTAATCATTTTTTTGGGGATAGAGTTTAGTCATCTATTACTACTAAAAAATAGTAAGGTTTAATAATTGGAATAAGGTTTAATAATCTCCAAACATATTATTGTAAAACAACACCTAAACAGAGATCAACGCATTATTCCATAATTCAATTCATTTCTTTGTATTTATCTCCAAATTAATGTAAATTATTTGTAGTATATAAAAAAATACCTCAAAACAGAGATCATGTTTATTTCCAGTATTCAATTTCCATGGATTTATGATAACACATGGACATATTAAATAAATAATATCATGCCATTATTGTGTGACATATTGACATACGCATTGAATTACCTTGCAAATGGCTTATATAAATAATAGAAGAAGGTGTTCTTGATTGTACAAGAACAAGAGGATATCTAAAAGAAGATGAACTATTCTGTCCCTAAAACAGTAAAAGACAATATTGAACAAATTAATTTGGTTTCTAATCAACCCGGATTAGTTATATATATAAAAATTAGAGCTATTGATGGCATAATTGTCTATAGTTTCGGCTAACGATTAATTACTATAATTGTTGTTAATGATAGTCATCAATAATGGCAGGAAGTGGCAAGTGGTCATGGTAGCTGACTAGCTTGCTAGGCATGGATGCGAATGAGCAAACACAGGTCGGCGAAGATATATACTTGTTTATAATAATACTTGACAAGTCAAATAATAAGTTTCAACTTAACAAAAAAATAGAAAAAAGAAAAGGTTTCTAATATGAAGTTTCATTCGAGATAAAAATCTAATAGTTATTGATGATAAACTTTGGTAATTTGTAACTAGCCTTAGAGGAAGAAGAACATATTCTACACAGATTTTATAAAGTTTACGAGTATTCGCTAGAAAGGTTTTATGGTACGTAAACACATTATACAATACATATAATATGATCTAATCGAATAACATGTGTTAAAGTATTATGCGCGGATCCGATTCTAGTATGATTAAACTTTTATCAGTTGAACTCATAAGCTACGTTTTTAATCGGTTTTGACCTCTTTAAGCGACTCCTACATGCAAGTGGAATCAAACCAGAAAGATTAAAGTTTGTCGAGGATGATTCGTTTTTGGTTTTGCAAGCAATGAATGAACACAAATGAAGAAGAAATTAACATCAATCAAGACTAGGGAGGGAGGTGAATGAGAAAGCAAGCATTCTCTGCCACTATTTTAATTTTCCCAATTGTCTATAAATTACCCTAAAAATAGGCAAATTTGGACGGTCGGAGAAACCTATATTTGTATGTCTAGTTAAAGTAATTAAACCCTTAATTAATTTATGTGTGTTTAATCCCCAAGAATCACAAAAGAATGGAAGGAGTTTATTTGCTTTACTTTATATAGAACAAAGCAATAATCACTTTGACTAATCTCCTTTTTTTTAATGACATAACACAACTCATTAAGCTCATCCCCACGTTTCGGAATAATCATTCACTTTGTTAAATATATACACTACAAAAAAAAAAAAATATAACTCAAGAACCTACGAGGAAAGACGTCATATAATCTAAAATATTATTACAGAATTTATTTTTCATAATCTTATACTATTACACAATAGTTTGTATGCATTAGTCGCATGATTTTACATTGAATATATTTGCTATCTTACGTAACTATACCCAATTTTAAATAATTAGTTTTAATCTGCCTTCTTCAACGACATTTTTTCATAGTAGTAAACGTTATCCTTCACTCGTAATTGATATATTTTTTTATACAATATATATATACAAGATTTTACAAGATATATTACCATTTAAAGTCGTTCATAAAAGAAACCTTGATTATATCACTACAAAAAAATGAGTGGATTGAATCATTTATTTTGTAACTTTACATTACTTATAAGTGATACAATGAAATTTTACATCACTTATAAAAGTGATACTTATATTGTCGATGCAAATAATTCACATCGGTTTTTAATCAACTGATGCAAAAAAAGAAAAATTGTATCAGTTCTTATAACTGATATTAATAACAAGTCAATTTTCAAAAATGATACTATATTTCCTATCAATTTGTAAAAGTGATGTTATTATTTGTGTCGGTTATCATAATCGATGTCAATTATATATATATATATATATCAATTTTAAACAAACTAATATAATTAATTTAAAAAATATAATTATTAATTACGAAATAATATACTTAATTACGAAATAATTATTATTAAATTAAAATATTAATTATTTTAATACATTTACTAATTATTTGTTCGTTTGTTATTTTTCCTAATATATAGCAAAATTATGGTGGATATTTTCTCTCGAAATCTTGTTACAATATATCCACTAAAAATCTAATCAAATATATCACATGAATAATCAAATCTTTATTTAAAAAAATAATATTACAATTGGGTTTTGGTTTCTCACGTCTAAACACATGAATAATCAATCTTCCTTTGCTCTATGCTTCTTCCTTTGTTAATTGTTCTTTTTTCTGAGAAATTTCAGTTCTTCCTCTAAAAAAAACTTCAAATCTTCTTCCTCTAAAAAAACTCTTGCTTTAAAGTATCTTTTTCCTTCTTCACCGCAAGAATGTCTTAAGTATGAAAACCAATAAACACACAATGAGAAAAAGAAGAAGAAGAAAGGGTTTAGAAGATGAACTTATCGATATGATTTTCTAGAAATGTAAACCTATATATAACTTGATTCACCTGGAGTTGTATGCTTGGAAAGAAAAACTTCTTTGAAAATTCTCAGAGAAGAGTTTTTGTTGTGTGATGATTTTCATATTTTTTGTTTGTGTTTTGTGAAATGGAGAGAAACGTTTCAGAAAATATTTATACATAAAATGAGTTCTCTGATATTTAGAGATCGTGGGTTAGTTGGTGATATTTTGATTTTTGATTTTATATTTAATAAAACAGTTTATTAAACATAATTGAAGAAAATAATATATAAAAGATGAGGACTTTAGAGAAAAAGTAAAAATTATTTTTGACATTTAAAATATAGAACACAATCGTAAATTAAAATATTATGAAAACAAAAAAATATTTCGAAAAGTAATATTTTAAATAAAATTATATTCTCTTAATTTATGAATTTTTTTCTAATTACCTCGTTTTTCTAAAAATATATATAATTTATTGATGCTATTAATATAATTTATTTTAGCATCACATTTTTATGATGTTAATTTTGTATCATTTAAAAAATCGATTTTATCAAAAAAATACATACATCAATTATCTAAATGATGTAAATATGTATTTTACATCAATTTTTTTTAAAGTGACACAATCTACTAGAAATTGAATCAGTTTTAAATAATTGATGAAAATTAGTTAATATTAGCATCAGTAATGTAATTGATGTTAAATTATTTATATTTGCTTCACTTATTAAAAAGTAATTTAAAATAAGATCACTTAAATTTGTGATACAATATAGTCATTTTTTTTTAGTGTATTTCTCCATTGACGCATGCATATTTACTTATAATTATATAACCCATATCTTTTTGTTCATATATCATTATGACTATAGCTTAGTTGTTAAATTAAAGAGAAAATATCTTACAAACAAGAATGTTATTATTTATGTTATTTCACACTTAAAAACTACAAAAATCAAATTGGTACACTCTTAAAAAATAATTTGTTACACGAATCAATCGCTCTCTTCCCTAGAGAAAATTTTATATATAATTCAATTATTGGAAAGGTCGTGGGGTGGCGAATGAGTGATACCGTCACGGTGCATGTGCGTATTCCTAACCATCACACACGGAATGAGAATCACTTACATCGAACGGTAACGAATATGCCTGTCACAAAAGCTACAAGTGACTCTAGCAGATCATCAAAATCTCAACATAATAAAGAGAGTCAGTATAACATGAATGAAGCTGTTGTTACATTATATAAAAAAGATATTGGAGTTGACTTTTTTTTTTTTTTTTTTGAGGTTTAATGCATAAACAATCTCGTTTTCTATATAAATACAAAACACATATAAATATAACATAAGCTCAAAGACTAACCAAACCCATCATCTTCATCTTCTTCCATACAACTTCTCTTCTCTCTATATATCTTTCTTTTTAGAAAACCTCAGTTTCAAGAACCTGATCATCAACTTCTCTTCGATGTGTTTTTTGTAAGTTTGGGTTTTTGAGTTTGGTTTTGTCTTTGTGAGGTGGCTATCTTTGTTCTTATTCTTCTTAAAACGTAGTAACAGCTTTATAAAAATCTTTCAAAGCATGTAAATTTAAGTCCTAGATCCATTTTACGCTCCTTCAAAAAAAAAAAAAAAAACCAAAAAAATTTCAAGTGTATCATTTATTGATCTCTCTATAGTTTTTGACTTTTGTGTTTGGTGAAACAACCGGTCCTGGCGAGGTTTAAGTTTCAAGTGTAAACCCAAATTTATAAAAACTTCAAAATCATGTAAATTTCGTCTCTATCAATTTATCACCCTACCCTCCAAAAAAAAAACCAAAAAAAATATTAGAATTTAGGCATTTTATTACAAAAAAAAAACCAAAAAAAAAAAAAGAGAAGACGTTTTGGAAATTTATGGCTCCACCGGAAGCTGAGGTGGGTTCGGTGGTTGTGATGGCTCCTCCGACCCCGGGAACCCCGGGGACGCCCGGAGGACCGCTGATAACGGGAATGAGAGTGGATTCGATGTCGTTCGATCATCGGAAACCAGTGCCTCGATGCAAATGCTTGCCTGTGATGGGATCAACTTGGGGTCAACATGACACATGCTTTACCGATTTTCCCTCTCCTGATGTTTCCCTCACTCGCAAGGTTAGTCATCCTGCTCTATTTTTTATATTTTATTTTTGGTTATTTCTCTAAATTCTAAATATATTAAATTATTGTAGACAAAAATATCATCTGTTAAATTTTTTTTTGTGTGGACAACTATAACTGATTGACTTAAATAAATAATTTTGAATTTTTTTATATAGTTTATATAGTACGGTTTATAATTACGCCAAGTTGTGTTAATTTATCCGTTTTAACATTTTTGTTTCTTTAACTAAAGATTTAGATACATATAATTTTTAATACCATTCGAATTCATGATCATTGTTTTATATTTGAGAACAAAATATTATCATCTATAAGATCATAAATATTACTAGAAATTGTTATTAAAAGTCTATGAAGAAAATATGAATGAGTAAATAAATTAGGAAACCTTTGTAAGTCTAAATTTTGTAATAGTTATAAAACTTTTATAAAGTAAAGATATTCTCATATTTTCTTTTCTTGTAACAAAAAAGTTCTAAATTGTTGGTCCATTTATTAAAAATGTCATCGAAATCCACGTTGGGAAAAATACTAGTATAATGAATAAACGAGTTTATATCAATTGGGGGGAAAAAATGAAGATCTCTATAGTATAGGGAAACTCAAAAATCGGATTTATTTGATAAAATAAACATTACACATTTCTTTATTTTTGTAACCGATTTTTTTATCATGTTCATACGTCTAATTTAATAAGATATCGAAAAAGACCATTAGGTGTTTACGTCACACACTTGGAGGAGATTGCAACACGACATGAACTAACAGTCTCAACCGAAAATTAAAATCAGAACTGTCAAATAAGAAAAGAGATGTAAAATAAAAAAGCAAGAAACAAAAAAGTCTTAGATAAAATAATAGTATGACATATGTAAAAAACAAAAAAAGTCTAAAAAAAAATAATAATACTTGTATTGAACTCGAACTCTTAACTTATTTTATTTGCTAAAACACCGACTCTCCTCATCTTCGATATTTTTTAATGGATTAATTAGTATAATGTTTTTTTTTTGTGTGACAATGAGCTTATAATAATAGTCTTTGACTACGATAACATTAAATTTGGTTTTATTGAAAATTAAACAAACAAGTTGCATAGATATAATGGTCACGCAAATAATTAGATTTTAATGGGTTTTGTTTTGTAATGACGAATACGAATTAGTTAAATATTACATCAACTTTAATTTATTTTAACTTTTGTTATTGTGAAAGACTTTTTATGCATTGTAACGTACGTATGGTTTGGTTAGGTCTTTTGAGATTCATTTAATTGTTGTGAACGTTTTTGTTTCTTTTGAGTCATGTCCATGACGATATCAGCCACGGGATGTATTTTGTTTTTGCGCAATCCACGGCTCTTGTCCTCTTTTATCATTAAACCAATCATATGATTACTCTCTAGAGTTTAGATTAGTATTGATATTTCTTATAATAATTAGTGTTAATTATTTGTGATTTTTGTTCATTATAGTTATATAACGTATGATTAATATTTTTGATTTCGTTGATTCTTGAACGTGGGGTGCGGATATGGACAGATCATACGCTATATACTTAAACCGTTGACTGTATTTTTAGTAAATACTAATGATGAGTTTTTTCGAATTGGACACCAGAAATGGAACTAATTTAATGGTCCTCTAGCTAGTGATTATGGGTTAACATAGTATATAGTTTTCTACTCTTCTTTGATAAAAAAACATTAGATAAGTATTTATTTACTTTTTTTATCTACAAAGATTTTCATAGATTACAAAACAATAAAGATATTGGATATATTGAACTAATTAATGGTCTCATTTCGGTATGATTTTGATTATATTTAAATTGTATATATTGATTACAAAACAGTAAAGATATTGGATATATTGAACTAATTCATGGTCTCATTTCGGTGTGATTTACTTTATCCGTGGAATACTCTCTTTCCGGAGATTAGTTTCGGATCTTTACATAAATCTGGGGATTTACCCTGAATAATCGAAAAAAAAAAAAAAACTCAAAAGCATCTAAAAATGAATAAATTTCATTTTCAAAAAACACAAAAGGCTTATTCTCGTATTCTTGTTACACAAGAAATAACTATATCTCTCCCTTTCTAGCCTCTATTTCTCTATTACATGTTCATCATTGCTATTTGGTGTATGTAATGCAGCTTGGAGCCGAGTTCGTCGGAACATTCATCTTAATATTCACCGCGACGGCCGGTCCAATCGTGAACCAGAAATACGACGGAGCAGAAACCCTAATCGGTAACGCTGCATGCGCTGGACTCGCAGTGATGATCATAATCCTCTCAACGGGTCACATCTCCGGGGCTCATCTAAACCCATCACTGACCATAGCATTCGCAGCACTAAGACACTTCCCTTGGGCTCACGTGCCGGCTTACATAGCGGCTCAAGTCTCAGCTTCCATTTGCGCTTCATTCGCACTTAAAGGAGTGTTCCATCCTTTCATGTCCGGTGGTGTCACTGTTCCATCTGTTAGCATCGGACAAGCTTTTGCTCTTGAGTTCATCATCACTTTCATTCTCCTCTTTGTTGTCACTGCCGTCGCTACCGACACTCGTGCCGTAAGTCCCTCTTTCTCTAAAATGTTTTGCATGTTTTTAAGTTTACATGCATGCAGTTCAATATTTCATTTTTTTTAATATACTAAAGTTTTTTCATAATATAACAGAAAAAATTACTAAAAAGAAGAAATTGCATATATATATATATATATTTACAATTGTAAATGTTTCTTTAAACGTAGGCAAAAAAATGTTTATTTAAACAAATTAGCTTTTTAAAAATGTTCAATTTAAATGTTTAATAATTTATGTCGCATTAGTTGTAAAAACGTTTATTTTTCTTGAATATAATTTAACATTATTTTCAAATAAAGAAAAATAATTAGCCAGTTATAATGATTTATGTAGCTAGCAAACCTTAATGAACTTCTCTTGATTGGGTTTAATGAGCAGGTTGGAGAGTTAGCTGGTATAGCTGTTGGAGCCTCTGTTATGCTCAATATTCTTGTCGCAGGGTATGTCCATATTATATGCTTTTTGTTACAAGGAAGCTTCTTATTTTAAAGAATCAATATTGCATTACAAAAAAACGTTTCTAAAACACAATAACACTTGGGAGTTTTTTAACAGGCCATCGACGGGTGCATCTATGAACCCAGTGAGGACTCTTGGACCAGCCGTTGCATCAGGAAACTACAGGTCACTTTGGCTTTATCTGGTGGCTCCAACACTTGGTGCCATATCCGGTGCAGCTGTCTACACAGGTGTTAAGCTTAACGATACTGAGACTGACCCGCCTCGTCAGGTTAGGAGCTTTCGTCGTTAAGTGAGTTGTGCATGAGAAAGACTTGTGTTTAATCACAAGTCTTTTGATTGTTATTGTTACTGTATGATTATGTAATGATATGAAACAAAACAAAAAAGCTTTTGGAAGCTTGTGTGAAGAATAAAAGGCGATGTGACTATAAGTCCACGCTCGGCATGCATGCATCATCGGTTTATATAGAAACTGATGAGAACTTGTCGTGTCTTTGTCAAATTGTGTCTGTGTAATAATAATACACTTTTATGTGTGTGGTTTGTGTTAATTTGTTGGTTTGCTGTTGTATGTTACCTTGGAGACGAGGCTGTACGTTTTTCATTAATAAAATCTATTGTGTGTGTATAAGCTTTTCAGTTTCATGTTTAATTTGTGAAATTATCGACCTAAAGATTTGGTTCAAGAAACATGCAAATATTTATTAAACTAGAGTAGACAATATCATCCAAAGAGGAACCCAACATGGAACATTACTGGGCTTTCGGTTACTATATAATGGGCCTAATTTTGGTTACTATTACTCAGCCGCTTAACGGACATCTGGTTTATTTAAATGAGAAGTCCAGTCCAACGAGTTCGTCCGAACTGAGACACTTTTATAGGACAAGACAACAACGAGACACACTTTCATATTTTCTTAAACTAGCACCTTATTAAAAAATTAAAAATTAAAAATTAAATCATAAACTATAATTAATAAATCAAATCCCTAAAAACTATACCTTAAATGTAGAATAGTCAACCCAAACTTTTAAAAATAAAAATAAAAAATATTTAAAATATTTTAATTGTGTTAATTAGTGTTATTTTTAGAATTTATAAAGCGTATGCTACTATTATCCATAAAACATTTTTTAGTACTATTTCAGGGTATTTCTCAAGAAAATTTGATAAAGAATTTTGATGGATGTAAATTGGGGACTATAACTATTTTTTTATAATTCTTTTTATTAAAAGTTTAACAATGATTTTATATATGTTGTAGTTTAAACTTTTCAAAGCACACATATTATTCGATTGACAAAAAAGGTGTATAGACAACGTCCCACATCGACTAAATATTTTTTGACAATAGTTCAAATCATTATAAATAAGACTAACATGCTTCAAACTACGAATAAGCAGTAATGTTGATTTAGAAAACTTCCAAATATAAAAAAAAATTATTATTTGGTATAATCCAGTTCTAAATTTGAGAAAATAAAAAAATTTAAAATATGAAGATTTTTTAAAGTTTCAAAATATTATAATTATTAAAATCTTTTAAGAAGTTTAAAATATTATAACTATTGACAATTTTTATATAATATAAATATTAAAAAATTAAAAAATTAAAAATAATAAATATATAAAATAATTGATAATTTTACAACCGATCGGAACCTATATAAAATAAAGAAAAACACAATAAATAAATAAATATATATATATACCAAGTTATACACAAGTTACTAAATAACATAAGATGACACTCATAATATAAAAAGTTACACGTATTGCTACTCCCACCTTTCACATTTAGAGACATTTTTGTCCTTTTTACTATGGTTGGCAACGTTTTTTGAAAATTATTGTATTTTGTAAAACTAAAAGTTGGTTTGATGGTAGAGTTGATGGTCATAGTGTTATAGAAGACGTGATTCCCATTAAAAAATGTGAGCCCATTAAGAAATGTTGGTGCATAGGCTGAGAGTGAACATAATATCCACTAGGAGAGGTGACGCTCGGAGTATTACACATATATGGACAGATCCACATGGACAAAATAAATTCACACAAGGAGTCAAGAATATGTTAAAAATTACGATAATGAGATAATGCGACCATTTCATGTACAATTTCATCAGGCGTAATTAGAGAATATCACATTTATAGTGGCACTCCGATTGCTTTTCTCACAAAGTGGCATTCTAGCCTTCCGCTCAGAGAGAGAATGTAAGTTGTATTTAGTGAGGTGGCATTAGCACAGTATTAAGGGAACTTTTAAAGTCTATAGTAGCACAATGTTTTTCCCATATCTTCGAAACTTTTGAAAGTGACTAATTGTGTGATTTCTTTTGAAAAAGTATATATATTTAATACTAAAGAGAGAAAAGTTTATTCTACAACAAGGAGTAAAGAGAGAAAAATAATAACCACAATAAATAAAAACAAAAAAAAGAAATAACACAATAAATATTTATATTTATATATATAAATATTTATTGCAACTTTTTTAATTATGAGTGTCATCTTATGTTATTTAGTAACTTAATTATTATTTTTCTCTCTTTATTCTTTATTTTAGAATAAAATTTTCTCTCTTTAGTAATTATTTAGGAACAAGATATAGATGATTAAAGTCTGTGTATCTCCTAAAATTTTCTTTTTATCCATCATTTAATCTCATAAATATAAAATAACATTTACCTTAGTAACCTAAGATTTAGTTTTAAGGATACATAAATACTATATGCATTTAAAGGTTTGAAACATAAATTTAATCCCCTGCTAAATAATATATTTTAAAGAAAATATAAATATTATGTGTCAGATTGGGGTTAGAACTATATTTAAATATGTGCATGGCTGAGGAAATCTCATAATAAATATTTCATAATCTAGTAAAATTTGCAAAATATTAAAACTATCATTTTAGACTATTTAAAGGAAAGAAAGACTAAAGTCTATAAAAGTAACATTTACTTAGAACTATATATATAGCATATATAGCATTCTTTGTTATCAGTATCTCTCCAAACCTGTTCATATTATTTTGGTGATTTAAAGATGGAAGACTTCAGAATAAATGGAGATATGATCATATCAAAAGCTCTATCACATACTGATTTTGACAAACATGGACGCTTGCAATTACCCAACAGCCAAATTCAGTTAGTTTTTACAAAGATGAAAGATGAAACGAAGAAAGGTCTGAAAAAGGGTATTCAACTCGAAGTTCTAGACATCACTAAAAACAATTCATACTTTGTTACCCTAAAATCCAGGAACTCCTCAAGAGACTATTATCTCGAAACGGGTTGGAAAAAAAGAGGAAGTCATTAGGCCTAAAGGAAGGTGACAATATCAAATTGTATTGGGATTACTTGAATTACAAGTTCATTATTCTCAATTTTCAATACAGCTTAGTCCCCTAATCCCTTTAAACAGATGATGTGATGGAGATTGGAGCGTATATGTTCACTCACAAAGCTAGTTTATTTTCACTAAGAAATTGATTTATTTTATGTTGTGTTTTTGAATCATATTATATGTGAACTCTTTAGATATGTTTGTGGTTTGTTGTGTTTTTTTTTGGATTGGTGTGTCTTTGAACTATTCTGGTTTAGCTTAATGTTGGTTGTTAAATTTCTGAGTCCATTTATAGGTAAACTAGGTACAACTGCATTGAAAAGATCAACTTGGTATAATTAGATACGAGTTGTACTATTACAAAATACAAGATTTATAACAATACAATACAATCCAAATACACGAATTAACTTCAAATTGCCAACAAAGTTAAGCCAATAGGGAAAATTACAATCATATCGTACGATAAGAAAAAGTTATACATAGTTGTACAATTACGAAGAACAAGTTATACTTAGTTGTACCATTACGAAGAACAAGTTATACTTAGTTGTACTACGAAGAACAAGTTACACTTTATTGTACGATATTTCCAGCCCTGTCACAAGAAAAGAACCACATAAATCCCACATAAGATTCCCGATGCTCCAGATTCGCAGCTCATTCTCATAAATAGCAAACCCAAAATAAAAGACGAAATCGCACCAACCCAGAAAGAAAGAAGGAGAAGAAGTGAAGAGAGTAAAAGGACAGTAAATCCTAGCTATACCCGATTCCCGATTCCCTCTTTCAATTTCAATTTGAAATTGATTTTTTAAAAAATTCTTAAGTGTAGGAAAAATAAAAATAAAAAATAAAAGGACCAAACAACAAACACGTGATCCACATTAGACACGTGTAGCCGCCAAAAGATACATGTGTAGCCGCCAAAATGCACTAGTTGTACCAAAGTTACAAGTTGTACTCGTTTTGGCAAGTTGTACTTTTTTATTTTTTTTGTTATAATTAGTTATACAATGTTTAAACGAAATATTTTTAGTTGTACACATGATTTTAATTAATTGAGGTACATATACCACATGTACATGCATAAATATTTTTGAAAACATTTGTTTCTTATCTTTTCTAATTATATGTTGTTTGCAATGAGAAAGTGACCCTTAATGTG